TAGGTTTGGCCTGAATAGAGGAATTGTGCTGTAGAAAAAAATAAAAAAGAAAAAAAGAATCAGTTCAGGCTCAACAGTTAAACAGATCTGGGATTGAAGCTTTAAGGAAGGGTAATTACTTGCTAGCTTTACCAGGAACAGGAAAATCTGGACAACTTCATTTCTACAGATATTACATCGTAGTCAAAACAGTATCTCTGTTAGTTCAAGAACAAACAGGTGAGTTCTGATCTCAACCAGAAGCCTACTATAGCTAACAGTTAATGGTACAGACATTAATTCACAGGCGATTTCCTTCACATTTTTTATTTAAATTTGTCCAATTCTGAATTTTGTTTTTATTATGAAACAACTTGAACAACTTGATGAGGAAATACAATTGAGTGGAATTAGATACACTGTGCCGATAATGTTTCTGTTGATTTGCTGTGATTTCATCATTTTACAGAATGCCTGAGTCATGAGATGTCACTGCAGGGTAGATTAATTTGGTCCCAGAGATTGGCACAACAGAATATGATCTCTGTCACACTGCACCTCAAAAGACAGCATTTTATCTATTACATGTACCCATGCAGATGCTTGTTTTTACGTTACTTCAGTCTTTGTGCTCATCTGCAGACATAAAACTTCTGAAACTGTCTACTGATCGCTGTAACTAGCCTTACAATTACTATTAGTATAGCAGCAGTGCCTGGGACCTCCACAGCCGAGTACCTACATGACAAAATCCAAAGCCTTGTGTCAGAAATCTTACAATATAAATGAAAGACAGAAAAGGATACAACAAACTGGAAAAACGCAAGGTGAAAGGGGAAACCTGGGATGAAGAGGTACTTCTTATGAATAAAGTAAGTTTTAAAGAATTGTTGAAAAGTGAATAAATCATACATCTTGGATCCTACTGTTAGCTTCTTTATCAAAAGACACAAGCATTAGGAATCATAGCTCAGAGACATTATTTGGGGAACCTGACAGATGAGTCCTAAGTATAATTCTAAATAAACTGATTAGTGTATAAAAATACCCAGGAGGATGTTTATCCATTAAAAGTACTTGCAAAAACCACATAGATAGAATCATCTTTTTTAAGGAATATTTATTTTCAGTTCCATTTAAACAACCCATTTTTTTAACACATATTAAAATTGTTAGGAAACATTCTAGAAATTTCAGGATTATAGCCACAGGGATGAATTAAATGCTTTTCAACTCTGTAGATTAAAATACAGAATATGTTTGCATCATTCTGCATTTTATTAAGTTGCTGCCTTTTGGTATGCTTTACATGAAAAATACATGACTGACACTCTTTATACCAGTAAGCCTTTTTATTGAAAAAAAATATTATTGCATTAAACTACATTCCCAGGAATTCCTTTAATAACCTAAAAAAAAAGCCGCATTGCATGTACAATAGTGCAATTCACTTAGCTACTGTATAATATAAAACACTTTATACAGAGAATACAAAACAAAATTACTAGTTTACATATTTTACTAGCCAGACTATTATCCATTTTTAAATATAAACTTAACACTTTTAAAATCAATCTGGTAATGGCATTTTTATGCAAGTCTGCACAACAAATATACATGTTAAATGTATTCCAGAAGTGCCTCAGTTATCAGAAAAAACACCAAAAAATAAAACCAAAAATTTTATCATTGTTTAACACAGGAAACTTTTGTTATTGGAGTTTTAGAGTGTGGGTGACCTGTTTCCTTGGATTATGCATCAAGAATACACAATCAAGCTAAAACAGATTAATTTTGAGTGTATATATCACTGCCACCAGGATACTGTAACTCTTCTAAAAATCAGCCTAAATGAAATAAAAATTGTAGCATGGGTCCATATATCAGGTTTGATTATGTTTTTAATAATAATGATGATACATGTTTAAAATACGTTACTGATGAAAACCAAATGTGACAGCAAGTAAAGCAAATGTATAATCTCAGCTGTGCTGATAATTTCATTACATTTCTCCAAGATAATCCCTTCCATGTACTAAGAACGATATTGGACATTGCCTTTGTTAGCAGTCAATGATTGCTGTTTTGCTATTATGCTGCTTCTGTTCTTTCTTAATCTCTCTTTTTTCCATCAATACCTCTCAAAATCCTAATTCCCATTGTTCCAAGAAATCTTTATTGTCTATTCATTTGCCTTACCAGATCATCCTTGTTGGTATATGCAATGATGCGTGGACATCCTATGATTTGGTTCCTTCCTAGAATCCCACTCTATTGTGCATACATCAAGGAAAGGTATGTAAATATTTTCCATAAATTATCTCTACGTAGGATATTGTTAAGTTTCAGTTGGTCAGGTTTCTTGCCATAAGAATTTCTGCAAGATTAACATTGCCCGTAAGAAGCAGGGACACAAAATGTGTGCCTACACATTAAAGATGGGATTAGTCTGTCATTTCCTCTTCTCCACTTCTTTCTTTTGGTGTTATCTACTTAGGATTTAAGTGAATTCTTATACACAATGAGAACTGCTGGGTTTTCTTGAATAGGAAGGGAATTGGGCCCATAAATTTAAAAGCTTGCAGGGCTGTAAAAGTATCTTTCAGGCTGGCGTTAGCCCTGAACTGGTGGTGATGGTTGTGCACCTCAGTCAGCTTCTTCTAGAGCACAGGTCGACCTGCTTCTTTAAAATGTCCAATTCAGACTGATTCTACAGAATTATAACTAATGTTTCCAAGTGGTTCACCGAGTGAGGGATCTTCATCTGAGCAAGCAAGTACTAGTTTTCAGAGGTGTGAAGTCACATTCAGTGAAATACATTTGATTGTCAGAAAATAATGTTTCAGCAGCATAGAAATTATAAGTAAATTCAGATCTAATTTTGGAAAGATATTCAGCCAAAGACGAAAGGAAGAATTTTAAATTGGGGAAATATTATTATTGTTCTGAAACAATAATTTCAATTAAAGAAGCTCCCTACAATTAAAATGAGAAAATTAAACCATAAAGATAAATAACTCCAAAATGGCACAAACCCATTTTGTTAATGAAATTAATAAATCAGCTGGGAATCCAACCAAAAGATATTTGAAGGTGCTGATTTCACCAGCCTTTTTCAATACAAAACTATTTTGCTTCTGCTCAGTCTCCAGACTTTCTCCTGACAGCTTTTATTTGATGGCTAAAATGTTAAGTATCCAAAGAAACTTTAACTTTGAAAATACAAAACAAACTGTCACAATTTGTAAAGCCATTTGAAGATTTTGTCATAATAGGAGATTGTGCTGAAGCAGCTGCTTTTACAAATTAAAACAATTCCATTTTATTGCGATGGATCAGTCTAGTTTTGGTTAAAACTAAGTTAGAAAGTTGGTCCTAAATTCATTTTAAATGCTCAACATAATTGCAATTAGATTTCTCGGTTTCTTCACACAGATGAGTAGAATGGAATAAAATCCCCCAAAAGATTTTTAGTGTGGTTTATATTGATTCTGAAAGATACATTATTAGTTATGCACTAATTCATTAAAAATGAATTGAAATTATTTCAAGATTTTCTAAGCCAAACAAACAGGTACTGTCTGTCAGACATTTCACTGTCCAGTTATATCGGGAAGCATACCTGCAGTCTAACCACAATTGTGAACTTAATTTCATGCTAAATATCCAATGTTGAGTTAGAAACATTGTAAAAAGTCAAAATGTGTCATTCAAAGGGATGCTGAAGCCCTCACCTATTTCCAGATATACAGTTATTACTAGCAATTTCAACCACATATTACCCTGGAGGCTGGATACATGCATTCAAACATTGCAGCTTCAGAACTTCAATTTGTATGCTGAGAGTTTGGGAAGCCATGCGAGAATCTTGACATATTTGTTTAGATTCAATATATCTTGAAATGCTGAGAACTGTGGCATGGTTTTCTATGAGACTTGAGCTGGATAGACAGTTTCTGCTCAGAATTTTACTTCTGCATTTTTATATCAGCACAATTTTATAGGACCAGCCAATTGTTTATGTTGCTTGTGGAAGGGATGAAACATATTTACACATTCTTTGGGCAAGATTCTCCCACATGTCAGAGCTCTGTTTGGTAGGAAAGCAGTGTTGCAGTCTTGGACAAAGACCTCTGAAGTTCAAAGCCAACAGGTTGCTGCTTGGCAACTCTGGGCTGCTGCAGCCCACCCCTGACATACCCTGTGCTACAACCACAGGCAGGCAATGCCAAAGAACTTGGCTTCATCCCATTCTTTCCCTTGCCTTCTTGGATGCTTAGCTCATGGGGGAAAAGTAGCAGCCTGCTTGTGCCAGCACAGAGCCCCACCTACCCAAGGGAATGTTTTGTTCTGTACTTGTGGCCAGACTGCAGTCCCTTTACACTGTCCAAGCAGCATCTCCCAGGGATAAAACCACTCAAGTACCTTCGAGAAGTTGTTGTGACCCTTTTCTTCCAGTGTTAACTCATCACCCCTCACTTTGAGGCTCCCCAATTTATTTTGACCAGGAGACAGATCCAGGGATTTGTGGCACCAGATGCCTTCTTTTTTGCGTAGTCTGAAATACCTTAACCAGACCAAGTACTACACTGTTGCATATACAAACTCAGAAAAGCAAACCTTTGAGGTGTGTCAAGAATGCTCTACCTTAAATTACGTTACTTTAAATCACTCATTGGTGTTGATACTCTTGGTTCCATTGTGTCTGGGTGCAGTGGTCCTATTCCTACTGACAGTCGCAGACTTCACTTCAGGCTGTGCTTTCCAATCCTTCTGTAAAATGACACTAGCTGGACCCAGTCCTCCCTGTGATAGTATCATAAAAGGCTTTAAACCAGCTTTTACAAAGTGGTATGAGAACTAAATCAACATTCATATGCTATCATCCTGAATGTGGACTTTAAAATACTTGCTGTTGTGCTCTCAGCAAAACTGTAGATTTCCCCTCAGACATGTGATTGAACACTGAATAATTTATTTTATTCAAATTTGGTTTTGGAGCCATGAAATGGCTGTTTGGGCTAGTTTAAATAACTAGAAACACTGAAAACTTCTTTTATCGTTGGTAACTGTTGGGTCTGGCTAGAATGACAATGGGGCTCTTGCCCTTGGAACAACGGGTGAACCAAGGGATTTGGATGTATAACAGAAGGTGTGGCTGCATTCAGATGCGGTGTAAATAAGGCTGGGATATATGTAGTGTGTGGCAGTGCAGGGAAGGTCAGTGGGGAAGGGTGGAGGGGGTTGGTGGAGACCAAATGCAATGGGTGTCCTGTCAGCAGAGCTGGGTGAGTGGGAATGAGGGCTGGCACTAATGGAGAAAGTGATATGGGAGTGAAATGTGCCTGAGAGAGAGGGTGGAGGTGTGCCAGGGAGAGATGGCTGCCATGGGGATGTACAGATGCCGAAACAGCAAAGCGTTGCAGCAGCGTGTGGTGGACTGTGGTGACAGTAGCGTGCTGCTGAGCAGGGAGGGCAGGAACTGCTGGTGTTGTAGAGAAGGCAGCTGGTCCTGGGGCAGGAAAAACTTTCAGGTGTTTTGCCAGAAGTTGTTTCTGCATATGCTGCTGGGCTTGCAGCTGCAGCAACCTGTATTTGTCCACTTCCTCTGGTGAAAATGTGACAGGCTGCTGCGTTAAAGGAGGGGAGGTGGATTTACTGTACACTTCTAGGTGATTTACTGTGTCATCATACTTCTGCATAGCGTTGTCACAAACAGAGTCTGAACTGCCTTCTGCCTGGTTCGAGTCCATGTTTACATCACGTAGTTCTTCTTTGGTCTCTGTTGAATTAGCAACAACAGAATATCTGTTAGGGGGAAAAGCACCAGGGAAATCATTTGGTACTGGGTCACAGCTTTGTATAAAGGGTTGCACTTCACTAATGAAGAGATTAGGTTCTTCCTTTATTGCTGTGTTCCTGTTTATACTTGGGCTCTGATAGCCTGTTCCTATTTGAATGATGTCTTTAAAAAGACAATGACCGTAATCAGTGGCTGTCGAAAGAGCAACGTTAGTTATCTCTGACGCTTCGAAGTTATTTTTCTTCACACTGTTTTCCAAAGAACTGATTTCATTATGCCCCTTGTCAATTTTACTTATGTTTAGCAGTTTCTCTGGCAAAGGTAACATTGCAATGTCATCTACTGATGATGAAAACTGGAGAGCAAAATGACTTCGCGAGTGATCCTTTAATTCTACCCCACAAGTCTTTGAAAATCTCTCTGCATTGTGCATTTGTTCCTGGGTTTTCTTGGACTGCACTCTTTCTAAAAGTAACTTGGCTGTCAATGACTTTTTTTTCCCACATATGTCTTTTGCCAGTGTTTCAGAAGAGCAGCTGACTAAGTTTTTTGACTGACCATTCACATTCAGAAGGTCAGAACGTGCAGTTTCAGCTTTTCCCAGTTCAGTGTTAGAACCTCTTTCTGTGTCCTCTTTTGTTTTGTTGTCACAGTTGTCAGTCTCTTTTGAGAAGGATCCTGAACTTCTGCCTCTTGATGTTCTGCTACTAGATAATCTTTCACTGCTTCTTGAATCTCTAGTGGAACAACTTTTGGAGCTATGGTAGCTTCTGCTTCTACTGTGCACTTTGCCAAAATGCTGATGTCTACATCTGCTATGTTTAGATTCATCAATGTGTTGTAAAACTTTATGTCTCGAACACCTTTGATATTTAATTGTGTGCCTTTGTGTACAGTTTCTAGCTCTGTGACCTCTGCTGTGACAAAGATAATCCTTGTTTGTATCATCAGAAGCAAAAATACACTTGTGCTTTCTGTGTTTACGTTTGTGCCTTTCAGCTGTCTTGCTTTTTCTTTTACAACAAAAAAGCAAATAATTTCTGCTGTGATTGCCCGATGTAGGGCTTGTGTAGCTCATGTAGCTACTCATACCACTAACTGAAGTGTCAGAATAGCTGGAAAGTCTGTCAGAGGAGGACATTTGAGGAGATGACATTCTCCAACATCTCGTGTAACTTCCACAACCTTCATTTTCTGAATACCTGCTGTTTGAACTGGATTTATAACTAAGCAGACTTCCACTAGAGTCTTTTCCACTGTCACTTATGTCACTGCTGCAGCTGGTCATATCTTGAACGGATCTGCAGTCATTTTGGTTTTCACGTTTCTCCTCAGAATAAATTAAATGACATTTTGCAGCTTTAGACTTTTTAATCCTAGACATAAAAGTAGAAAAGGAAATGCTTTCATTTCTAATGTTCTGGTTTTTTCTTTCACAGCTGTGAAAATGATGCTTTAAAGGTCTTCTCAGTGTTGTTGTATGGAGACTTTTTTCTGTCACATAATCCTTTTGTGAGACATCAAGGTAAGCAGGCACTTTGGGTATATTTTCATTCAAATAATCTGAAATGCATTTTTGACCA